GATTGCTAACATGGCAAGCCCAGTGGTTCTATCAGAAGTGGATGTGCGCAGGCTAGGCGAAAACTGGTCTTTGATGCAACCTGCTTGATATAGGTTAGATAAAAGAGGGGACTTCCTGAGCATGCTAGAGATGAGAGAGGGGACTATCTGGGCAACTTGATTGCTCCCATTCCCTGCTCCCCAGCTCCATCTCAGACACAGGGAAACCTGAGCTTGGGCTGGATTGCAGGCAGCAGGCATGGTCGCTAATGCCTGCGGCGGGAGGGCTGGCTAGGGACGAGGCTACCGTTTCCTCCTAAATATAAATGCAGCTCTTGCACAAGAAGGGCTGGGGAGACAGCCTTCCTGGCCTCCTCCTCCTTCCATGCATCCCAGACACCACCCCTTCCACTTCCCCATTGTAAAAGACCCTACCTACCCCCCACCCCCCGCCGCCAAGACAGGAGTTGTGGCACACACCTGTAGTCCCAGCACTTGTGAAATGGAGCTAGGAGGATCTTGAGTTGAATTTAAGGACAGCCTGGACTACATAGTGAGGCCCTGTTTCAATCTCCCTCCTCAAAAAGAGACAGACAGACAGAGCGAGAGAGACAGAGACAGACAGAGACAGAGATTGTTTCCACCCTGGGGTGGTGGGCCTGGCCTCTGGACCCCATGGGCTCTCAGCTCACCCCACATCGGGGCATCGGGGTCCAGGCCCAGGCCACTGGTGTCCGCAAACACAGCCTGGTCACTTACTGCCACCCAGGGCGGCCACTCCAAGCTGGCCCTTGCTCAGGATGGGTAATCGGCGGCTGCTTGTGTGAGGTGTTGGTCTGCGGGCTTCCCGCCAGGCCAGGCGGGCACCGGCGGCGGTGGGTGCTGATTGTGAGCAGACAGGAAGGCCCTGACGCGGATGGGAGGCAGATTGTGGTCAAAGCGTCTTCCGGACCCTTCCGCCCTGCAGAGCACATGGGATCCGGGGGGCCAGCAGCTGACCTGCGGGGCCTGCAGAAGTCTGGACGCGTTGGCCTTGGCCCCGTACCCTGATGTGTCATTCATTCGTTCCTTGCTACAGCTGGTGCCGAACAATGGTTAGAAGCCAAGGCCCCCTGAAGTTTAAAAGCTCAGCTCAGACATTGCCTAGCTGTGTGACCCTAGGCCAGCCCTGACCTCTCTGAGCTCCTCATCTTCCCCTGGGCAGCAGCAGCTTTCTCTCAGCTTCCTGGGGGGGGGGGGGGGGGGAGGGCAAAGCAAGTGCTTGGTACCGCCCCACCCTGGGCTCCAGGCTCAGGAAGCAATGGAAACCAGGGGCCCGTGGCTCACGCCTGTCATCCCAGCTACTCAGGAGACTGAGATCTGAAGATCACGGTTCAAAGCCAGCCCGGGCAGGAAAGTCCGTGAGACTCTTATCTCCAATAAACCACCAGAAAACCTGAAGTGGCGCTGTGGCTCAAGTGGAAGAGCTGAGGGACAGCGCCCAGGCCCAGAGTTCAAGCCCCAAGACAGACAAAAAGAAGAAAGAAAATGAAAAGAACCCAGCCTTGACAGGAGTGACAAGCTCCCAGCCCTGGCACCTGCCCCTCCCCCCCAGCCCCCCAGGGCCCTCCCACCCCCCCACCCCCCCCCCCACCCACCCCCCCCCCCCGCAGCTCCTACACACGCATCAACTCCCCAGTGTCGGCTCCCAGGCTGGGGGAGGGAAGATCAGGGACAGCTGAGCTGTGACCTCTGACCCCATGGGGGAGGGGTGACATAAGCTGGTCTCTCTTCGCCCCTCTCTCAACCTTTCACACCACCCAGGGGTCCCTGGCTGCTGTCACTCCTCTGACTTCCCCAGCATTTCCAGAACCTTCCTTCCTGCACGAATCACTCTGATGACTCTCAGATCGCTGATCCGACGGAGCCTCTAAGCGTGGCCTCTCGAAGAACCCAGTGGTTTACGCATGGAAATGTCCCTTTGCCCTGGGGCTGAGAGCCACGCGTGGCCACCACGGCTCCGTTCACTGAGTGCTGGGAGCCCACGCCACGGTCCGAGCCACGCTGTACCCCCTTCACAGACCAGGAAGCCCAAGCCCAGAGAGGTGACGCCATTTATCCAAGTCACACAGCTGGAGGGCTGAGCAGGCTTGCCTGGTGCACTGCACTGCCCGGCACTTATGCCCACGGGGTTCCCACTCAGAGCCTGCTGGGGCTCCCTCCAGTGTCCTGCCTTCTCCCCCACACCTTCTGCTGCCTCCAGTCCACACTCCTGTGCACCCCAAGGCCCTCCTCCGCCTCAGCCCCCTGCATTGAGTCTGGCTCCCCAGGACCCTAAGGGAGAAGGCCTCAGGGGACCCCAGGCGTCCCCCCAGGCCCCAGGGGGCAGTGCACATGGCAGCTGCCGCTGGCGTCACCACCCAGCAGACGCAGACTTAGGAGCTGCGCTATTTTCCACTCTGCAGCTGCTGCTTCAAGCCCTGGGCGGCCCCGGGGACGGGGAGCAGCTGCCAAGGACCCTCTGCTCTCCTGGAGCCAGCGCCAAATCCTCCTGCTATTTCTAAGCAGCCAGAGGAAACCTGAAGCAGAGCCCTGCTGTCCCCTCCCGGCATGCATCCACCACCCACCCATCCATCCACCCATCCACCCACACAGACATCTATCCATCCATCTACCCACCACCCACCTACACACCACCCCCACTCACCCACCCCTCCATCCATCCATCCACCCCCACCCCCCCACCCCCCCCACACCCATCCACCCACCCACCCATCCACCAACCCATCCACCCACCCACCCACACAGACATCCATCCATCCACATACCTACCACCCACCCATCCATCCACCTGCCCACCACCCACCTACACACCACCCCCCACCCACCCATCCCTCCATCCATCCATCTACCCATCCATCCATCCACCCACACACACACACACCCATCCATCCACCCACACACATACACACTCATCCATCCACCCATCCTTCTACCCATCCATCCATCCACCCACACACACACACACCCATCCATCCATCCACCCACCCACCCATCCATCCACCCACACACACACACCCATCCATCCACCCACACACATACACACTCATCCATCCACCCATCCATCTACCCATCCATCCATCCACCCACACACACACACCCATCCATCCATCCACCCACCCACCCATCATCCACCCACCCACACACACACTCATCCATCCACCTACCTACCACCCACCCACCCACCCACTCATCCATCCACCCATCCATCCACCTACCCACCACCCACCCACCACCCACCCATTCATCCACCCACCCACCCAGCCAGCCAGCCATCAACCTATCCATCCACCCATCCATCCAACCACCCACAGGCACACCCATCCATCTACCCACCCACTCATCCATCCATCCATCTATCCAACTATCCATCCATCCAGTCATCTACCCAGCCAGCCAGCCATCCACCCATCCATCCACCTACCCACCACCCACTCATCACCCACCCATCCATCCATCAACCTATCTACCCATCTATCCATTCACCCACCTACATACCCACTCATCCATCCATCCTTCTATCCATCCACCCATCCCTCTAACCAACCGCCTTCCACCATCTACCTCTCCCCTCATTCCTCAAAGAAGTAGAGCCCCATCAGAGAATACAGAAGCCAATGCCAGGTTCCCAGCTGCCCCTTTCTGGCCTCAGTTCCTTTTCTGGGACAGAAATGACAGACTCACTCCTAGGGTTGGCAATAAGTTCATGTTGTCAAGTGTTGGGGGCAAGGCCTGGCACTAAGTCCGGGGGACACGGAAGGGGCAAACCTGGGCTGATGGGAAAGGAACAGGGGGGTGGGGGGAGGGTGTGTAGATGACAAGGCATCCAGGGCAGAAGCTGAGGCAGAGGGAAAGTTACCCTGGCACTGGGAGAAAGGAGGGTGGAAGGAGATCATAGGCAGAAGGAACAGCAGCTAGAAAAGCTCAGAGATGATACCAATGTTGGTTCTGACCCGGAGCTCAGCTCAGGCCACCTCCTAAGTCCCCACCAGCCTCGGGGGACCCAGGCCAGGGCTATGGCACGTGCCTCGCCCTCCTGAGGACCAGCGGGGCTGCTGACCCCCAGCTCTCCAGTGTCCTGGGTTTGTCACAGGCGGGAGGCGGGAGTTGTGAGGATGCATTTCCAGCCTGTCAGTGCCTGAGTCCCGGGGCGGTGGGGGCGGGGGGGGGGGGCGGGGGGTGCTCAGGAGCAAGGAGCGTGATACCCACAGACACTGGCTGATTGGTTGACTTTGCCAGAGCCACACCGCATCCTGGCATTCCGCTCGGCCTCTTCCGGAGGTTCTCCACAGGAGCCGGGCTGAGCGGAGAAGGCAGGGCCGGCCCTCCCCACTGCGAGAGGCAGACAGAGGCCGTTGTGTGGGATGAAACCCAACCCGGGCCCCCTCTGGCTGAGGTGAGGCCGTCGGAGGCGGGTGAGGGCTGGGGAGGGGGGAGCCTCCTGCCCCATCCCCCGCCCCACCACCCTGGGGACCTCACACAGGCTCCAGCCGCACATCTGGATCCCAGCTGGCCACCAGGACCCAGGACGAGGTCTGGGGCAGGGGAGGGACCGCCACAGAAAACCATCAAAGGCAAGAAGGAGGCTGCCCGGAGGGCAAGGAGGCCAAGACAGAGGAGGCCGCCGCCCAAAGGCCGGCCCAGGCCACACACACACACACACACACACACACACACACACACACCACCACCACCACCAGGGCCTGGATCTGTTTCCTCAGGGAAGATGGCTCCCTCCCCCAAGAACTGTCCCCACCAGCCCCCCCCCACTGCAGCCTCGTCCCCACCCCCCAGAAAACCAGCGCCACCCAAGCCAGATTCCGATTTTATTATGCTGGCGTGTTACATCTCTGCCCCCGTGGGATCTGTGTGAAGGTTGGGGGGGCTGGGAAGGGGTTCCTCAGAGACACCCCAGAGAGGTCGGAGGCCAGGCTCCCTGTCGAAGAGCAGTGTGGCCTTCCGGCCATGTCGTTGTGAGTAGAGGATGCTGCCCACTTCCCTCCCCACCCCACAGCCCTTCAGGCTGCAGGCCAGACACCAGAATGGAGGGGGGACTAAGTGCGGCCCCCACTCAGCTTCCAGCCTGCTTGGGGGGGGAGGCAGCCAATAAGAAAGGTTCAATTCATGCGTGCACTCCAATAGCTGTAGTGGGAGGAGAAACAGCCCTGAACCTCTGCACCCCCAGCCCCAGAGCAGCTGGACAGCTAAGAAGAGGCACCTTCAGGAAAATGGGGAGCAATGTTTTTCAAAGAGGGAGTTACGGGATTTGACTTTGTAGCTGTGAAAAAGAAAAGAAAAGGAAAACAATTTGGGAAAGCGTTAGCTTAAACCCGACCCAACAGAAGCCCTTAAGGTGGTGTTGGGGGGCTGGGGTGAGGGTTTCTCGGGATGGAGGGGTCTCTCAGGGTGAAGCTGTGGAGGGAAGTCAGGGAGCGCTCCCTCCGTGCCTTTGATGTTTACACCTTGTTCCCCCCCGGGGAGGGGTGGCCCACGGAACCCCACGTGGGAACCCCTCAGGAAGGCCCTAAATCATGGTCTTTGCTCCCAGAACCTTCTGAGCCACAGGAAGATGCTGCAGGTTGGGGAGACACAGAAGGGGGGGTCCCTTTGGGTTCCCAAAGCCCAAGTTCCCAGCCGTCCACTTGCTCCGCCACCCATCCCGTGTGGCGGACGCTGTGGGGTCTCCTGGGGACACCCCAACCCCCATGAGCACTGGCAGGGCAGGGGGCAGCCCCTGAGACCCCCCAGGGGCATTCCAAGCTGCTGACATCTGAGGGAAGATTCCTGGGGTGCAGCAGAGTCCGGCAGCTCTGCCAGCTGGAGGACAGGGCCCCCAAAGAAGGCTAAGGAGGGGTGTCAGGAATGGTTGGAGTTGGAGGCCTTTTGCTTGAGGGGGTGAGCACAGCTCGGGGAGGGGAAGGAGAAGGTCCTCACGGTCAAGGCCAGCAGCTCCAGAACCTCTTAGACGCTGGGGGAGACAGTACTGCAGGCACATAGGCCTTCAGGGGGACCCGCTGGTCCCTGGGCTTCCTGGGCTGCGAAGGAGGTTTCTGGAGCCTCATGGCCCTCGCTGGCTGCCACAGCTCCCTCCGCTGAGCGCATCTCCTCTGGGACTTCTGGTTTCTCCCTGGAGGTCCCGGGGCCTGGGGCTTCCTGGGCCTCCTCCTGGCTGCCCTGGGCGCTGCCCCTCACCAGCCTGGCGCCCTCCCCGCTGGCAGGGGCAGCTCTGGCAGGTGATTTGAGGTTCTGGGTGGCGGCCAGGATGTCAGCCTGGAGCTGCAGGGAGGAATCGAAGCCCTCGTCGGGCCGGCTGTCGGGAGCTCTGTCGGGGACCTCGCTGAAGGCTCGGGGACCCCCGGCGCGGTCACTCTGGTCCACGTACTTCTTCTTGGGGAAGGAGGACGGGTAGTAGGCCGTGGCCTTGTGCTTCTGGCGAGTGATGACGGCGGCGCAGACGATGAACATGAGCAGGAAGGCCAGGGAGCCCACCACGGCGATGAGCATGGCGTACTGGCGGAAGAAATCCACGAGCCCCTCCAGGAGGCTAGTGGGGGGGGCCGGGCCCCCCCGGGGCGTGGGCTGCGGTCCCACGGACGGTGTGGGGCCCAGGGCTGGGGTCCCCGGGGGCGGGAGGCTCGGAGAGGAGGCCGACGAGCCCTCGGCCTCCCCGCTGCCTCCCGTGTCCTCCAGGAAGGCCGCGGGCAGGGACTCGGAGTGGGGGGCCGCAGGGCCTGGGCTCAGGAGCAGCAGCAGAGCGAGGAGGAGGCCGGGGACCATGATGATCCCCCCCGCCAGAACCTGCAGGGAGACGAGGGAGGGAGAAGTCAGGACCCAGAAACATGGCTGCCCAGACCCCGACCCCCCAGGATCAGACTATACCCCAGAAGTGTCTTCCCTTCTGCAGTTGAACCCCCACAGCACAGCGGGTCTCATTCATACAGAGGACGCCCCTGATCCCCGCCTCCCTCGGAGGTCCCGAGCAACGGCGTTCCAGGAACATCTCCTCAGTGGTGGGACTTTGTGGGAAGTCTGGTATACAGTAGGTGCTCAATCATTGCAGGTGGCCTGAATCAGTCAAGCACAGGCACACTTTCACCGTTTGGCGTGTCCTGATGCATTGGGGGTGGGGGGTTTGTTTGGTTTGGTTTGGTTAGTCATGGGGCTTGAACTCTGGGCCTGGACGCGGTCCCTGAGCTCTTCAGCTCAAGGCGAGCTCTCGGTTTATTATCAAAGCCTGGGCTGGCTTTGAACCGCGATCCTCAGATCTCAGCCTCCTGAGTAGCTAGGAGGACAGGCGTGAGCCACCGGTGCCCGGCTGGGTTTGTTTTGTTTTGTTTTAACCAAGGATTTCTCACTGAATTCTGAGAACGTCTTAATAAGGAGATACTACATTACCCCATTCTCCAGGTGGGTAAACTGAGGCTGGGAGGGTCAGAAAGGTCCTACGTCTCTGAGCCCTGCAGGAAGCGTGGAAGCCAGAGTTCCCCCCCCCCCGCCCCCATGGCTGACCATACCTGGCCCTGAGGCCCCAAGCAAGGCTGAGGGGGACCCTGGGAGACCCCCCTCATGTCCAAGGCAAAGTGGGAGCTGCCCTGATGGGCTGGGACCCCCAGAGAGCCCAGCTGATAAACAACTGCACACGGCCCAAGGGCATGGCCGAGTGTGGGATTAAAGCTCTAGCTGTCCCATTGCAGGAGAGTGGGCGGCTGGGGCCAGCGGGAGGCCCGGGGCCCTGAAGCTGGCCGGGCCGAAGCTCTGGCTCACAGACGCTTCCCAGCCCTCTCTTAGGTCCTGGCTTCGAAGCTCAGATGGGAGAATGGAGACACAGAGCAGGAGCAAGGCCAAACAGCAAGCTCCCAGGGCCACCTGCCCAGCCTTGAGGCCTCGGGCCCTGCTTCGGGACAAGCCGCATTGTCTGGGGGCTCAGGAGGTGAGGGAGTAAGCCCGGAGCGGGTGGCTCACGCCAGTCATCCTAGCTACTCGGGAGGCTGAGACCTGAGGATTGTGGTTCGTTGCCAACCTGGGCAGGAAAGTCCCTGTGAGAATTTTACCTCCAATTATCCACACACACACATACACAAAAACACTAGTGGCACTGTGGCTCAAAGTGGTAGAGCACTAGCCTTGAGTGAAAGAGCTCAGGGGCAGTGCTTAGGACCTGAGTTCAAGCCCTACGATCAACAAGAAAGGAAGAAAGACAGAAAGATGGAAGGAAGGAAGGAGGGAAGGAAGGAAGGAGGGAAGGAAAGGAAGGGGGAGGGAGGGAAGAGAATGAGAGAGAAGAAGAGAGAAGAGAGAGAAGAGGAGAGAAGGAGGTAAAGTAACAGGGCCAATTCTAGGTGACCTGGGGCCTTCGCCTGCAAATGACCGCCACACCGTACTTGTGCCGGCCACTTGGTTGCTCTGAATTCTTTGAGTATTTCCTGTCGTCTGCAGTAGGCCGGGCCTCGCGGCGGTCTGGCCTGAGACACAGGGCTGGCCCTGGTGAAGGGGCGTTTGGCCGAACTTGCGCTGGTGGCGGATGGCGCGGACGCACGTGGGGGCTGTGAGGAGGTACCAGGACGGGGGGGCTCCGTGGATCCCGTGCCTCCTTCCCCCTCCCCGTCCCAGTGGACCAAGGAGAGGAGGTGTTCAGTGAGGAGCTCCCCACTCCTGGGCTGGGCCTTGCCTCCCTCCTCCTTCCCCACCCCACCACCTCCTCCTCAGGTCAAGACAAGGGACTCAACTCTATCGAAGGTGTCTGGGCCACCACTGGGACAAACATGGCGGCCGGGCAGCCACATGGGTGTGAGCAAAGGGGCTGGCCTCCCGGCTCCACCACGGCTCATTCTGCCAGCTGACTCTTCCAGGCCTCAGTTTCCCCATCTGCCATGGGCCGCAGTAGGGGGTGGCCACTTCACGCTGTTAAGACCTCGTGAGGGGACACTGGGAAAGTGCTCACCCAGGAAAGGTGGAGTTCAGGAACAGAAAGCTTCAGGACTAGCCGGCTCCCCCCAACCCCCCCAAATAACTGTGTGAAATGAGTGCCCATTTCCTCAGGCCTCCTCACCCCCAGGAGAAGACCAACTTTGTACCCTTACCTCCAGCCACCGAGAAATGCAAGACCAAAGTTACACACACACACACACACACACACACACACACACACACAGCACCAATGTACCAGAGAAAGGACTTACGTGGAGCCACTCTAGCTCTTAGAGGTTGATACCCCAACTCTGAGAGTCCCCCAGCCCCTCCTGCTCCCCTGAGGAAGATGGCAGCCCGTAGGAAGGCACCGTCCGGCGTGGATCCCGCCAGGCCTCTCGGGAGGTGGCTGTGTGGCTCTGGACAGGCCCTCAGCCCTCTCTGGGCCTTGGCTTCTCTTCTGCAGCGGTGACAGCGTGGCCCGCGCAAGTCCAGCTCCCCCCCCCCCCTTCTCACGGAGGAGCTGGGCTCTGGGTCCTGCTTGCACCCGGACTCGAACCTCGGGCTGCAGGCGAGAGGGTTGGGCTCAGGCCTAATCCTTCTATTCTCCCTCGAAAGGAAACTGGAGCCCAGAGACAGCACGGCCTGCCCAGGGAGCCTCAGCGGAGCCCCGGAGGCAGCTGGGAAGAGCCACGAGGCACTTCCCAGCTGTGGGTGGCGGCGCGCAGTGCCCGTGGTGGCAGGCCAGTGGTGGGGCTCAGCCAGGGGACCCCCCCCCACTCCGAGGCCTCTTTTAGCATGAGATGACCCTACTTGGGGTCACAAATCTGCCAAGGCCTGGGTACTCCCCCAAGACTTGAGATGGAGGGGCTAGAACAGCTGCCCCACCCCCACCCAGAGACGGTGGCGGGAGGGGGAAGGGTGACCCACGGAAAAGCTGGCTTCAATTAGTGGGCTGGGGGGAGGGGGCTGGAGCGCACCAGGCTGGGGCGGGGGGGGGGGGGGGGGGGGGCCTTGTGAGGGGAGAGCGGGAGGGGAGATGCTGAGGGCCCAAAGCCACAGGCGTGCACACACACACCCACGCACACACCCACGCACACACACACGCACACACACACACACGCACACGCACACGCACACCCACGCACACACACACACGCACACACGCACACGCACACACCCACGCACGCACACACACACACACACACGCACACACACACACCCACGCACACACACACACCCACGCACACCCACGCACACACACACCCACGCACAGCCGTCAGCACAGGGGTGCACAAGCCAGGCACGGCAATAGTCCCCCACAATCCCGACACACAACTAAGATCCCACCAACTCATCCCCCCCAAACCGTCCCCCATCCCCCGGCCCGGCTCCCAGCACTGACACACAGCACAGGAGCCTCACACCCCACAACCCGCAGAAAGCCAGGCGGCCTGGGACAGTGCGATCCACCAACCCTCCTCACACCCCTACCTGCACCCCGCAGCCTCCAGGGGGCTCCCCAAAGTTCACTGGCCACCGGCCACGTGGATCCCCTCCACCAGTGCACGCAGCAGCCCGGCCCGGCCGGGGCCTGGGGACTCACCGCTTCCCCGCGGCCCGCGCTGCCCCGGGGGCCCTGGGCGCCCTGCAGCCCTGCAGCCCAGCAGCCCTGCACGGAGGCGCCCGCCCTGCCCGCTCTGCCTGGCGCCCGCCTCGGCCTCCACCTCCGCCTCAGCCTCGTCTCCTCCGCCCCACTGGGCTGCGGGGGCCAGCTTGATTTCATTAAGGGGTTTTGGGGTGGGGACAGGAGGAGGGCGGAGCTGGCAGGGCCACACACCATCCCAGCCCCCTCCACTCCAGCCGGTCTCTGGGGAAGGACTAGGGCTTCCTCCCCTGACCTCAAGTCCCCAGGGCAGGCGCAGACAGACAGACAGACAGACAGACAGAGGGATGCAAGCCGGGGGCCCACCACACCCCCCCACCAGGCTCCAAAGGAGACATTCCAGGCCCCTGGAAGTGTGAGAAGGGAAATTCCTCTTTGGAGTTCCAGCTGTGACTCAGGTTTTCCAGGCTGGGGTGCAGAATGAGCTGGGGGGGGGGGGGCGGGCTGTGCTGGGGAGGGGGGAGGCCTGGGTGGAAAGTGGAAGCCTGAGGCAAGGCGTGGAGTCCGGACACCTGCTCTGATCCAGGCCCTTCGCCTCTCCGGGCCTCAGTTTCCCCATTCCTAAGGGTGAGCGGGAAGCTGGCTGAGCTGCCCCTGGCTCTGACATTCTGGGTTCTTCGATCTGAACGTGATGGGAGTTATAGACCCACGTCACAGACGGGGAGGGGAGGCCCGGACCTCACCGGGTGAGGCCCTCATCCGGGTCCTCAGGTGAGCTGCTGCTGGCAGGCCCTGGGCCCGAGGCCCGAGCAGCGCCCCGCGTGCATGCTTTCATGCCTGCCCCGTTTGCTTCCTCCCGCAGCGGCTCAGGGCGTCTGTGACTGAACCAGCAATGAGGAGAGCTTGAAGGCCTAATCCCCAGAGGCTGAGACCCTGAGCACTGTGGCATGAAGCCAGCCCAGGCAGAAAAGTCTGCAACCAGCCAAAGGCCAGGCTGGAGGCGTGGCTCAAGCGGTAGAGCACCAGCCACGGAAGCAAGTTGAGCGTGCGCAAGGCTCTGAGTTGAGAAAATAAAAAGGGCCCACCAGGATGCACACACACATACATACATGGACACACATGCACAAAGGCCTAACACACACACACACACATGTACAGACCTACAGCAACATGCACGTGCACACACACATACACACACACACACACACACACACACACACATCGGAAAACATAACAGCAAACCTCGGTCATGATCACAAACCCAAAGAGGC